ACAAATTCGCCATCAAAACAATTTTTACAATCGAAAAATTAAACCCTCGTTTATGGTTAGGGTAAGGGTTGGCTTGGAATTGGCGAGGTATAGCCTATACTAAAATTTCACAAGGAATTTTTTTTGTTAGAAACCAAAATGTGGTTTTATAATCAAAATTTTGAGTTATATATATTGCCCGTGTACATACACCCCGTGTACAAATAGAAATTCTCTATATTTATATATATTTTTATAAATATTTAAGGGGTTTCCTTTAAAATACCTTTTTTTATCTTAAATGTTTATATAAATATATATTTGTAAATTTTATACCAATATTCAAATTAAATAAATATTTAGTATAAACAAAATTAGGCGATACAAATACGTAAATAAAGGTTTCATAGTGTAGGGCAGAAATTTGATCTGATGTGACGACTTGGGAAGACTTATAAACGTCAATACCAAGCCTAGCTTTCTTTACTAAACTTGCAAAATTAAGTAGTAGTCATATTGCTAACATATAGTAACTTTACAGTAATAATATATAATTTTAAAATTAAAAAAAATAATAGATTAAAAAAATTGCTACTACCAAGCGAATATATAGTTATTTTATAATTATTTTAAAGTAGTTTTAAAGTTGTTAAATTAGCCTGTACTGCAAAGTATATGTTAACAATATGCCTACTACTTAATTTTGCAAAGTTTCAGTAAAGAAAGTTAGGTTTGCTATCGAAGTTTATAAGTTTTCCCAAGTCGTAACACCAGATCGAATTTCTGTTCTACACTATGGAAACATTATTTTATTATATCGTTTCTACTAAATATTTAGATATAAAATTACAAACATATATATTTATATAACAAAAAAATCTATTTTAAAGGAAAAAACCTTAAATATTATAAAAATATATTAACATAAAATTCAATTAACGTTAATAAAATGTTTAACTTTCTAATTTAGTACGCCAATATGATGCACGATTTGGATCGGTTAGTGTTTCAATTCCTTCATAGCACCTCATAACATTTCTCATTCCATCTTTATCACCATGTTCTGCAGCTTTTAAATACCAAATAAACGCACGATCGGGGTCCATGCTCGTACATATTCCTTCTTTATAACATCTAGCAAGATGACACATCGCAACCTTATTATCTAAATTTGTAGAGGCTTCAAAATATTGAAATGCTATATTATTATCTTGATTTACGCCACCTAATCCTTCTTTATGAAAAATTCCTAATTTAAAAATTGCACCACTATCACCAAAATTTGCTGCATTTTGATAATTAATAAATGCTAAATTCATATTTTCTCCCGTTCCAATACCAAATTCGTAACAACGTGCAAGATGATAATATCCAAATCTATTATCTGAATTCGCTGCATTTTGATATTGAATAAATGCATTAATTTCGTTTCTGAGAGTACCACGACCATTTGCATAACGATGGCCGAGTTTAAACATCGCTTGTGCGTAATTTAATTGAGCTGCTTGTTGATAACATCTAAATCATTAGAATAATCACGTTGCTTTTCATGCTCATAACCCTCATAAAATAATTTCCTTAGATTTCGATGGCGATCCATATTAATAAAAAAAATTAAAAAAGAATTTTTTATTAAATCAATTGCAAAGTATAGGGTTTTATTGCAATTATGCCTTAAGAGGATTATGTGATTTGCAGTTTCGAAAGAGGCAAACGGTTAAAAGTGCATGAAGATACAAGTAGTCGTATAACAAGTTTATGATTTATTCAATAAAGTACTCGAGTTATTGGCGTATGAAGACATGATTACTCTTTATTTATTGTTGATTGTTGATTATGCTTTTACAAGAATGAGATCGAAGTTTTTTATACATTTAAGAACATTATGATTTTTAATTTCCAGTGTTAACAGTATACTATTGCTTACGAATTTTGGCATAACATAAAATGAAGTCGATCAGAAATCAAATAGGGTTAACCTATTGATTCCCTATTGAATATTATTTTACTTGTGAAAATGTCTTTTGAAATAACGTTAGACCTCTTATTCTTATTTTTCTCTGGTTTAAATTTCTTATGATAATGAAGTAAATTTACATTGGACTATTGAAAATACGTATATAAAATACGCTTCATGGTGTCCCTCACTAGAAGGGTATTATAAAAAAAAATTACATATATTTTATGGGATTTAATCTGCATTGTAACGCACCCATAAGATCAGGTATAGCATAAAATCAAAACAATAGTTTTTTATGTAATTAGGGTTAGCATTAGGTAAGGTTAAGGTAGATATAAAAGATGAGCTTATAGTAAAATCTTGCAAGGAATTTTTTTTGTTAGGACCCAAAAGGTAATCATATATGCAAAATTTTGAGTTATAAGTGGTTTTTGGCAAAATGAACATTTGTTTTGAATTGTTCTGATCATGTAATGTTATACCTGATCTTATATTTTAATTGGTTGATCAGGGGGTGTATTACAACACATATGTGTTAAATTATATAATCCTTATTAAAACTGATTTTAAATCAAAAATAACAGAAAAAATGTATAAATTAAATTAAATAACTCTAATAAGTTATAGTTGAAAAACTGCTATATTGTATTATCCCAAGGTACTAAAATACCATCTGCAGATTCTTTAGCATTGTTATTGTCTTTATGAGTAGAATTTGAACTTTCACTTTTGATAATATTGCTTGAATCAAGTTTAGTTAGGCTGTCTAAAAGTGATTGAACATGCATATTGATAATCTAAGTAATGAAA